ATATTATAACTAGATGTGGGCTTTGTCTTCTTTATATGTCCCTGTATATTTAAATATTCTGTAAATAACTGAAAAAGAATAATAAATGTAATGCAAAAGACAAAAAAGGTGTCACTGTTAGAATTTTGATGAACATTGGTAATAAAAATACAAGGCAATTTCAACCCACTCACATCATATAAACAAAAAAATGTAAACACTTTTAAAGTAACATCCATAGTTTCAGTCTAGATGGAAAATAATCACTTAGAAATGTTTATCCACAGTAGTACTGATCACTGTCACAATTGTTAGGTCTTTCAAGTACTCGTAGATTAGAGGTACCCACACATGTAGTAGGGATGCACTGACACTGGACTTTGGGAACAGTGTTTGGCCAGATCTTGATCTTCAGCGTTTGCTTCAGCCTTGGCCATTGAAAGGCGGAATAACTAAATGCCATTTATGGCATCCTTCAGCCTGTCTGTGAATAATGACATGTGAATGTGTAGATCACCATCACATCTCTTTAGTGCAACAATCTTCAGTGACATGCTATTCACATGTTCGTTCAGATGGAGAGAATATGAAGATTTGTTGTTAATAGCTGAGTGTATTTATTTATTTGTGGTATCCAGGGGCACTCATCCACTGAGCCACAACCCTACCCTTTATTTATTTATTTGAATTTCTTGATAAGTTGCTGAGGCTGGCTTTGAACTTGTATTTCTCCTGCTTCAGCCTCCTGAGTTGCTGGGATTACAGGCCTGTACCATTGAATATCTACTATTAAATTTAGGTATTCTAAATTCCATAAGTAATTTGAAGTGCAAAATCTGATGATGTGCTTTATATACTGAAATTCTAACAGTTGAAATACATATGAATGTGTGTATATATACATATTTACACACATTACAAGTATTGCTATAATAAGTATTAAAGATTATGAAAGGTATGTTATGTAATAAGCAAGAACTTGCAATTAAAATACATTGACAATATGAATATTAAGAATGTGATATTTGAATAATTTTAGAAAGAACATCTTTTCTGAGCCTACGATATTTTAAAAAAATATTTATTTTTTTAGTTTTGGGTGGATACAACATCTTTATTTTATTTTTATGTGGTGCTAAGACCTGAACCCAGTGCCTCACACATGCTAGGTGAACACGCTATCACTTGAGCCACATCCCCAGCCCCTCTGAGCCTACAGATATTTATAAAAATATAAATGCCACCACAGGGTAGGTGTGGTGGTACACTCATATAGTACTAGTGACTTGGGAGGCTGAGGCAGGAGGGTTGTGTATTTGATGCCAACCTGGGCGACTTAATGAAATCCTGCCTGAAAATAAAAACTAAAAAGGGGTGAGGATGTAGCTCAGTGGTAAAGCACCTCTGGGATTCAATTCCCAGTACCACCACCACCAAAAAAAAAAAAAAAAAATCTACCACAATGTTATATAATAAAGATCAGACATCATAATTGTAATTACTATAAAATTATTTGGTGCAATTTATTAATAACAGGAAACAACCTTTTTAAAATAATTTTTAGTTGTAAATGGATATAATCTTTATTTTATTTATTTATTTTTATGTGGTGCTGAGGATTGAACCCAGTGCCTCACATGTGTCAGGCAAATGCTATACCATGAACCACAACCCCAGCCCCAGGAAACAAATAATCTTTAGAAACTAATGTTTAATTATTCAATTCCATTTAGTCTACGAATTTTTTAAAATAACTATTTGGTAATTTTTCACAAGTTACGAAAATAAAAGCAGAATATTAACTTGGCTACCTCAAATTTCACAAGTAGAAAAAAACACATGAAATATATACATGATAAGTCATGTTTGAAATATGACATGATTAAAAATATGGAGAATTGAAGAACAGTAGAAAGTGTTGATAAAAATAAGGCACCCCAAATCTATTCTCTAAACAATGGATTTACAGGGTGTTTTTAATATGAGTTACTCACTTTTGGTATCTGTAAACATTCATGTATTTTAAAGCTTGTGGAAATAGTTACTATATATTGATAACCATTTTCTAGCAAAGAGAACAAATTTTTTGAGATTTCCCCCAAGTTTTTAATTTTACATATTGATTTCTTTTTGAAAATATTTCTAAAACTTTTTTATTTATATCCTTTATGCATGAATTTTTTTTTTTTTAGAGAGAGAGAGAGAGAGAGAATTTTAATATTTATTTTTTTTTTTTTAGTTCTGGGCGGACATATCTTTGTTTCTATGTGGTGCTGAGGAACCTGGGCGCACGCATGCCAGGCGAGCTCGCTACCGCTTGATCCACATCCCCAGCCCCCGAAATTTTTAATTATTAAATTTGTACCACAGGGGCTGGGGTTGTAGCACAGTGGTAGAGTGTTCGCCTAGCACGTGTGAGGCCCTGGGTTCAATCCACAGCACCACATATAAGTAAATAAAATAAAGGTATTAAAAAAGAAAAGAGTGAAACACTGTTTCTAAGAGAATTAGAAAATAGTGTTGGGAAAGGATTTTAAAAAAAATTTGCTACCACAGCATCTAGCATATAGCACAGTTCAATATGAAGAATCAAAGATTTGACCACATTGAATATTAATGACAAATTCAACTGTCCTGGATATCACACATGTAATAAATCTGACCTCAAAAAATATTTGTGGAATATTTTCTCTTCAATAAGGAGAAATGCACACAATTCTCATTGTCCACGCAGTAAATATGAGAAAGGGTATGAGCACACATACATTATAGTTTGCTCACATCTTCAGTTTTATATTCAGAAAATGTTTTTAGCTTACATTGGTTTTAATAGATAATTACTGCCTAAAAGTAGAAACATTTCCATAGTTTTTCTTTATCTTATAAGAAATTCTGTGATACACAAAAGATTTTGAAATTGTCTTGCTACATACATTTGCAAGATATTTCATAAGATGGAATAGCAGTTATTACAGGTTTCAAAGGCTGATAAGATGAAAGTTTTTACTTTGTATTTTCCAGCAAAGATTATCATTGTTCTAAGATTTACTAATAACCAATGATTGCTACAGAGAAAGAAGTTTGTATGAATTTGTTGAATAAATTGATACTTAAAAAGTTCACATATATTTTCCACAATTCCTGTTGAAAAGATCTCCATTGACTCTGCTTCAGGGACGATGCTGTAGTTAGTGTGCAAGCAACGAAAACCAAGTTGCAGGTAGAAACTGATTTATTTCATTAACTTGACCAGTTAAATTGTTCCATTGTCACATTTCTAGATCCCAATTTTAAGGACAAATTTTTCTCTAGTAACTGGGCATAGCAGCAAAAATATTAGAAATTAAAAATAAGAGTACAACAATCTTAAATCTGCTTCTAAAAATGTCATGTATTTTCTTCAAACAATATATGAAACTTTAGTTCACAAAACTGCTTAATGAAATACAGAAATGAAGACCAAGAGTAAACTAGGGGACTAAGGCTGTGGCTCAGGGGTAGAGTGCTCGCCTTGCGGGCCCTGGGTTCCATCCTCAACACCATCTAAAAATAAATAAAATAAAGGTATTGTGTCCAACTACAATTAAAAAATAAATATTAAAAAAGAGTAAAGTAGGAAGAAAGTCTTTGCCATAAATTCCTTTTAGAGGAAGAAATATTTAATAAGTTAGTGGTAATACTACCATATCAAATAGGCAGAGCTAGTTTTGCTTCCCCATCAAGTTCAGCTGAAAGTGTCTTGTTAGTGATGCAAATATTCCTGCTTAATAATCATAGGAGCATCTAACAGTTAACAGGGCTTTGAAATTACTGCTCTTGCTCTTAAAGGTTGGACCTTTAAATTACAACTATTACATTTTTAATAATAAAAATATAAAACAATTTTCTTGGAAAGAAATTTCAGATTTTTTTCTTGAATCTTAGAAGTTCATTCTATGGTGATATTTCAGATTCAGAGAATGGTAATATTACCTGTCAAATATTCTCCATTTGACCAAGATGTATACTTAGGTATGCCTCAAATTGCATACTGCATAAGTAGCTATAGTCTAAATTTAATACAAGAGCAGGTGTCGTACCAGGAGGTTCTCATAACTTCCATGAATTACAGATACATTTACTGCTACTGGCATTGACTTGATTTCTTTTGTTGCAATACAGGTTTGAGAGGATTTTGAGTCATGCCAGTTTGAAAGGAGAAATGTGCTGGAAACTCAGGTTTATGTGGCTATGTAACTATAACACACTGCTAAACACACAACCTCCATGGTTAACAACTTTCTTTTCACCAGTTCCTTTGCACAGACCCAACAAACCATAACCACAAGCTTTATTTCTGCCAACCTCAAGAATTTCCCTTCCAGACCAAGCCCCAGAGAGTCAATAATCCAGAGAGGATAAATTTGGTGCCAACTCGGGTCATGTAAGATGTGAACCGCTTCACGTTGGCAGCCACGTCTGTAATTTCTGCAAATGACACGTCTTCGTCATTGTTCTACCCACAAACTCACTCAGGCTTTATCCCCACCTGACTCTCACACTCTTCCCGTTTTCAAACCTTGCTAAATCGGAAGGTCATCCAGCAGAAGTTCTGTTTCTCAGCTGGAACTTCATCATGAAAAACACTCCCCAGGACGATCCCTGGTTTGCAACCGAGCCCTAAGCTACCAACTGTTGGACTTTCTCGGGGGGGGGGGGGGGGGGGGGGGGGGGAACATGCGGAGATCGCCCGCACTTCGGCTGGGCACTGCCAACCAACCCGCGCAGAAGCGGACCCGCGGGAGGGGCGTGCTGGCCGCGGGGGCCGCCAGGGGGCGCGCTGGCTGCGGCGGTCGGGCGGCTCGAGCCTGCGGCGCGTCTAGGCCGGCGAGGCTCCTAGCGCACTCGCTGCCCACAAAGCGCCGCTGCGGACCGCTGCGGGAAGCTGCCTGGCGACCAGCTCCGCGTCCGCGCGAGCCTGTGTGTGGGGAAAGGCAGGGCGGGGCCGGCGCTTCCTTCGGAGAGGACCGGGCGGCGGGGACTTCGTGGGACGGCAGCGGCGTCGACTCCGGGCCGGGCCGGGCAACGCAGCGCAGGGCCATGGCCGAGGCGGCCGCGGCTCCGGTAAGGCCGGCGCGCGAGGGCTGCGAGCGTGGAGGGCCCCGGCTGGGGGGGAGGCGGGCGGGCCGCGGCCGCGCAGGCTCCTCCTCGGCCCGCCGCCACGTCGCCCGCACCCGGCTCTGTGGCCGCAACTCGCTCGGGGGCCGCCGCCAGGAAGCCGGGCTCGAGCGCGGGTCCGAGGCTCTCCCTGGGGACCGCAGCTCTCCCTGGGGTCCGCAGGTCCCGCGTCCTCGGGGCGGAGGCCCAGGTATCCCCGGTGGGAGATCTGGAGCCGAGAGAGGCTGCCCCGTTGGGTGTCAGCCTGCAGAAACGGGGAGTGCGCTTGGGTTTGGGTGTTTTTTGTGGTCCGCCTGCCATTCTCACAACTGCAGGAGCTGTCGTCACCAAGTCCCCCCAGTGCAGCCACCTGCGCGGCGGGGAGGGTGGAGCCAGGTGTGCCCTCCGCAGACTGCGTGACGACGGCCCCAGCACGCGCTGAGACCCTGCGGGAGGCTTCGCCGTGAAGGGCTGCGGCTGTCGGAGCGTGGCATTAGCCGCGCGAGCCCCGCTTCACTGCGGGCCTGCAGTGGGCCCGGCACTCTACCAACTGCCAGGGCACAGAGGCAGCCGGGACAGCTCCCGCACACAGCCATTTAGAAAGAGGAGGGAATGGTCAGTAGCAGAAGGATTGGAAAGTATTCCTTGGATTTGCCACCTAAAGAAGCCTTTGGCCCCCTCAAGGACAGCAGTGTATTGGAGCCAGACTGGTCCACGGAGAAGTGGCTTGAAAGTGAAAAAAGGAAGAGATACAAGAGGGAGCAGCAGCAATGGGGTGGAGAATAGAGCAGAGGGGAATGCCATCTTTACTCTTGGGCCTGTTTTTCCTTTTATCAAAAAAAAAAAAAAAATAATAATAATAATCCAATGTATGAAAAATATTATTTCAACAGTAATCAGTATTACAAAAATCACTCATGAGATTTTTAACAGCTTTTTCTCTATCAAGTCTTCAAAATCTCATGAGTATTTTATACTCACAGCACAAATCAGTGGCAAGTGCTCAGTGGCCACAATTAGCCAGTGACTGGTACTGAACAGGACAGGTCTATCTAATGGAGAAGAATCTGTAGAGATTGGCATGTTGATGATAAAAGAAACAAATGTACCTAAAAAGGTGAAAGGGATTGGCTGACATTGAGAGTGTAAGTGGAGAGACTGGTTTTACATAGGATGAAACTTTTCTCCTTGGGAGGGAATTACTGATGAGTAAGTGGGAAGTGATATGAAGAAAAAGATAAAGTTGAGAGAGTTTAGGTCCAATTATTCAAATTGGTTTCTCAAAGTAGGAAGCCATGTGTCTCCTGAGACTGAGGGAACTGCAGTGCCCTCAGTCTGCAGTGCCAGCAAGTCTTTCCATCTACTGCTGTGTGCCCTGAAATCAGGCAGCATGTCTGGGAGCTTTTTTAAAATGCAGAATCTCCATTTTCCTCCCAGACCTACTGAATCAACATGCGTTTTAACTACAAATGATTTTTAGCCATTAGCTTAAAAGTTTGTGGTGGCTTTGTGGAATGTGAAAAGATGCCTGGAGAGCACCAGGCAGTGTTGTCCCTACTGAACTAGACTAGCCTGTTAGTAGTTCACAGGACAGGTGAAATGAGAATACCGTAGTATGTGAACCAGAAAGAGGGTTCAGATTCATGGAATTAGAAGGCTTTGCAGAGGTTATCCTAGTCCAACCTCCTATTTGTTGTAGGAATTTCTTCCTTTTATAACACTCTTTTTTTCAAAGTATATTCAGTGATAGGGCAGCCTGTTATTTTTGTGAAAAGATCTAGTTCAAAAATTATTTATTATAGGTCAGAGTTTGCCTGAAAATTTCCACATGTTGGCTCTAATCTGCCCTTTTGAGTAACACAATATAAGATTAAACAAGTCCATTCTGCCTTCTGTTTTATAATCCTCAAATATTTGAAAACAGCCATCATATTTTTCTCTAGGCTCAACATCCCCACCTTTTTTACTTCTTCCTGAATGGTATGGTTGTGATGTGTAAACAGGGTGATGGGCAGGGCGAGAGCATAAGTTTATAAGGGATTTGTTCCAGGGCATTATGCTCAGTGAAACTTGGAAGAATCCTTGTGCAGTTTTGCCTTTTCCAGAGATAGCTAAAGCAGCAGCCACCTGAGCCTCCAGGTCATATATTAGAAGAAATGTGCCAGACTTGGTCTTAAAAGCCAGTTTGATTCACAGTCTTTCTAATTCCATTCCTGAACCACCAAAATGGCCTCCCGGCTTTTGATGTCAATGAGCTCCAGAACAATGAGACTGATACAACAGCACACTAAAACTGTATTTAGATTAATCTCAGATGGACAATTAAGCAATTCTTATCAGATTGTACTTTGCAATCAAGAGTTCCTTCTAACACTCAATGTCTTGTCCCATCTCTCCACTGCACACAGACTTCTGAATGGGATTCCGAGTGCCTTACATCCTTGCAGCCCCTTCCTCTTCCTACACCCCCAGCAGCAAATGAGGCACACCTACAGACTGCAGCCATCTCCCTGTGGACAGTGGTGGCCGCCGTGCAGGCCATAGAGAGGAAGGTGGAGGTCCACAGCCGACGTCTCCTACACCTAGAAGGCAGGACAGGGACAGCAGAGAAGAAGCTAGCCAGCTGTGAAAAGACAGTGACCGATCTTGGGAGCCAGCTGGAGGGCAAGTGGGCCGTGCTGGGGACTCTGCTGCAGGAGTATGGGCTGCTGCAGCGGCGCCTGGAAAACTTGGAGAACTTATTAAGAAACAGGAACTTCTGGCTCCTGCGGCTGCCCCCAGGTATTAAAGGAGATGTCCCAAAGGTAATACCTCCTCTTCTAGGGGTAAGATAGTACTGCTAGACCTCACATGGCAGTGAACGATGGTCTTGGTCAGTTACTTAGATATTCTTATTTCCTTTTACAACTTCTGAAAATGTTTTAGGTTGAAGGAACCATGAAGCTGTTTTGTGTTTATTTGAGAAGTATTCTGTATTCAATTTAGTGCCCTTTACAGTGTCAAGCTTCAGATGGGAAAACTTTCCTAGCCAAAGTTGGCTGTCTGGTAGGTAGATTTTTTTCTTTCTTGCTTTCTCCTGTCTTTATGTGTCACTTCTCTCCTGTCCTTGATGAGAATCTTGATGAGGAAACTAAATCCAGTATCATGTAAACCAATCAATTTGAATTTGTTCTCATTTCTAGCAAAAAACCAGAGGGGACATGGTAAACGATGTACAGTCCTATGGTTAATGTGAGGGCTGAGGATTATCCACAGGTCTAGGATTGATACAACTCCTGTCCTTTAGCATCTTCACAGAAGAAGCATGTTGAGATGCTAGGGCCCCATGGCCCTTCTGGAGGAAATAGCCCCAAAACATAAGGAAATAAATATTATTCTAAAGCAGTGGAAGATGACATTGAGGCAACTAGTTTTCAAACATGCCTGTCTATTCATTCGTTTGTTTAATAAGTATTTATTGAATTCTTGCAGTTTGCTTGATGTACATCCTATGAAGGACATAGCAGAGAATGGTTCACTTAAGCTCTCCTGGAACTTATATTTTCCTGGGGAAAGGAAGGTACTACAAATGTGTTTGTATTTGTAAATACATCTGTATCAAAGCACATATATTTGCTTTGATCAAAAGTGGTGATCTATTTTCAAATGGATGTCAGAAGTTCTCATTAGGGAGCAATATTTAAGCTGAGGCTGAAAGGCCCAACTGTGAGAAGTGTGAGAAGAGCTTTCCAGGCAGAAAGAATAGTTGGTGCAAACTCCTGAAAACACACACAGATCTAAAACACAGGAAAAGGAAAAAAGACCAATGAGCTGGTATGCATGCTTGAATAGGAGCATGACTTTGAGATGTGGGTAGAGTCAAATCATTTAGAGCAAAGTTGTTCTGCCCTAGCTGTACCTAAGAATTAGCTGGTGGCCTTTTATTTATTTATTTAAAATATTTCTTAGTTGTCAGTGGACCTTTATTTATTTACATTGGTGCTGAGAATCAAACCCAGTGCCTCACACATGCTATTGCTGAGCCACAACCCTAGCAGCTGGTGGCCTTTTAAATTTTGACTGGTGTCATACCTAGATGGAGCCCAAGCATGAGTAATTTTCAGAGCCCCACAGAAGTTCTAATGTGTGAGTGGGATTGTGAATGACTAATTGAAGGCATTTAAGACAAAGCAAGGAATTGGGATTTTAAACTTCAGTGTAATGAGAAGAAACTGGAGGTTTGAAGAATCACTGGCTGCTTTGTAGAGAATGGATGGTGAGGGCAAGAACAGAAGAGGGAGGGGAAAGTGAGGCAACTGTTGTAGAGTGAGGGCCACCTGAATGTGATAGTGATAGAAATGAAGGAGTAGACAGAAGCTGGATGTTATGATGGTAGAACTCAAAGTAGCACCTACGCACCTACCGATGGAAATTAGAGAGGAGGAGTTAAAGAACAACAGTGGTACACTCACTCGGGGGTAATATACTTAGAATTTGGTGTTCTAAGTATTTATTTATGTAATTCTCACAAGAGCCCTAATTTGCCCAAGGTCATATGGTTACTAACTATAAATAATAGAGTTGTATTTTAACCAAGGCGACTCCAGAGAGTATACTTTTTTTTTTTTAAGTTGTTGATAGACCCGTATTTTATTTATTTATATGCAGTGCTGAGAATCAAACCCAGTGCTTCATACATGCCAGGCCAGTGCACTGCTGCTGAGCCCCAGACCTAGCCCAGCGAGTATACGTTTAACCACCATGAATTTACTGAGTCTTAGGCTCTGAATAACTGGATAGATGGTGTTGGCCTTTTCTTAAGAGGAATACCTTTGGGAGGTGTGGCCTTGGAGTGGGAAGGAATTAGGAGTTCTCTTTGGGCAGTATGAGGTTTGAGATGCCTGTGATACCAGAGAGATGTTAAGGGGGCTCTGAAGCTCAAGGGAGAGAGAAATATTTGGGAGTCATTGATAGATGGTATTGTGAGTTATGAAACTGGAAGGGATTATCTCAGGAGAGAGAATGGATAAGCAAAAGAGAGTCTGGGGACCAAGTTCCAAGGATAGGAGAAGCCAGTAGAGAAGACTTAGCAGGAGAGGCCAGGAAGGCAGGGAAAACAAAACACACACACACACACACACACACACACACACACACATACACACATGAAGGTGGGTGGTATCACAGGCCAAGGAGGAAAATGCATTTCCAGGACAAAGTTGTCCTCTAGGTTGAATGTGTTCCTAGGAAGTCCAGAGAGATGAGGACAGTGGCCTTGTCAAGACTGTTTGACTGGAGAAGTAGGGCTAGGGAGGTTGAATGGAGCAGTTGAGAGGGGGTGGGAAGAGGACACGGAGGCATGACAGAGAGCATCTTGGGTCATCTGTGCAGGGGCAGAGGAAGAGGAATGGCTGGGGAGGGATGTTAGAGTCCCTTGCTGGTGGGAAGCTCTCAACGTGTCTTATTTGTGTCTCAAGAGCCCCTCCAAAGGTTGTTGGGAGTTACTTAAAATTAAGTGTTTTAAAATAGAAAAGTAAAAGTGAGTTAGTTATTTTCTTATCTGGGTAAGTGGATAACATTAAAATTGCCCATCTTAAACTCCAAAATCATATGTAAAATGAAGTAATTTAAAAATTTCTTGATGAAATTAAATGCATTTAATTCTAGTCAAATGTACTGAAGATTTACTAGATAGAAATATGAGAAATAAACCTTTGTTGAAAATGACCTTATTCTGTTCTTATGTTTGAGTGCTGAGTTCTAGATCCAAAATCAATTTCCCTCAAAAATTTCTTTCTTAATTCTTATTTTTTATTTTAATTTTTTAATTTCTTCTAGCTTTTAATGGATCTTCTAAGTTGTCCACAAATTTAAAGTCAGCCAAAGGGCATATTACTCCTATTTCCCAACCTATCAGGCAAAATATCTATTTGGACAAAATTATCAATTTCATTAGTTTTTTTTTTTTTTTTTTTTTAATTTTTATTTATTTCTTGGTGCTGGGGATTGAACCTAGGTAGGCCTTGCTCATGCTAAGCATATGCCCTACCACTGAGCTATAGTACACTGCCTGGCCATTTTTTTTTTTTATATATATGAGGATTAAACCTAAGGTTGCTTTACCATGGAGTCACATCCCCAGTCCTTTTCATTTTTATTTTGAGACAGGGTCTTGCTAAGTTGCTTAGGGCCTGAATAAGTTGCTGAGACTGGCCTTGTGATCTTCTGCCTCAGCCTCTTGAGTTGCTGGGATTATAGGTGTAAACCATCATGCCTGGCATCCCTATACCTATTTTATTTTTTTTAATGTGGTAAAATTTATGTATAAATTTATCATTTTAACCATTTGTCACTTGAAATCATTTCAGTTAACATTAAGTATATTCACATGGAGGTAATCATGACTCCCATTTATTTCCAGATCTTTTTCATCTACCCAAACTGAAACTTAGTACTCATTAAACACTAACTCCCCTTTCCCTGTGTCCCCAGCTTCTGGCAGCCATCATTCTGCTGTGCCTACGACTTTGAGGACTCTAGGAATCTAATATAATGGGACTTGGGCAGCGTTTGTCCTTTTGTGCTGGTTTACTTCAGTTGGCATGATGATGCATGGTTCAACATGTGCCAGAGGGCCTGCCTTTTTAAGGCTGAGTAATAGTTCACTTCCCTCAGAATTTTAAAGTCTTTGGGGCTTTTGTCTCATGACACATCAGATGCCATTGATGAAGAGTTTAATACCAAATCTATTCTCATTTGTTTGTATTTTCTCTCTGGAAGTGTTTATAGTTGCTTTTCTAAATGTATTGAGGATATATGTGGATGTAGGTCTTTTAAATTTTATTTTGGACTCTTAATGAGATCGTTCAGTCCAGTTGGACAATTGATGGCTTGGTGGCTTTCAGCTTTGAGAGTTTTCTTTTGTGATTTATTTTTATAATATTTTTTTTTTTTTAAATATTTTAATATTTATTTTTTTGACAGACACAACATCTTTGTTTGTATGTGGTGCTGAGGATCGAACCCGGGCCGCACACATGCCAGGCGAGCGCGCTACCGCTTGAGCCACATCCCCAGCCCCTATTTTTATAATATTTTATCTCACTGTTCTTCTTTTCTTTCTCCCTATTCTTTCTTTCTGGAACTATTATTTGATAATGGATTATTATCTTTATCCCTTAACTTTATCTTTTTCAGCTTTTTAGCTAGAGTTCCTTGACCTTTCCTTTTATTCTTTCTAATTTTTTAAACTAAACCTTTTTTTAAAAAAAATATACCTTATTTTTTTATTTTTACGTGTTGCTGAGGATTGAACCCAGTGCCTCATGTGTGCTAGGAAGTGCTCTACCACTGAGCCACAACCCTAATCCTGCCCTTTCTAATATTTATGTTATCAATTATATATTTAATTTAAAAAAAAAAATGTTTGTTTTCTACTCCTTTTTAAAAGCATCCATTAAAAAACTTTTAAAAGTAAAAGTTTTTTAATGGATGCAAGGTGTGTTTGAATTTCTCTGAGCATGTGTATCAGAGGTCTGTTTTGGTTTATTTTTCCTATGATATCATTTATAGCATTTGTACATCTTGGTGCAGTTAGGCATTTCTGAATATTGGGTAATCCTTGGTTCTTTATTCATAATCACAGTAAAAGAATTAGATTGATTGATAGTTAGAAATAGGAAGTGGGCATACATGCTCTGCCATCATGCAGGTCTGTTTATCCAAAGGATCTGCCCTTTGCAAAAGAGGGCACTCTCTACAGGTGCTTGGTATAAGTGGGCTTCACATTTAGCAGAGAGGCAAGAGGGGCCAACCAGAAGGAGTT